TGATGAAGTGTTGCTTAATGCGACAATTTCCTAGTTATTCATAAGCTCTTTTCACTGTCTTTAGTATCAATTCATTTCACTTCTCCAATTAGCCAATTAAAGGTGTGAAAGCAAAGTGAGGGCTTTTCTAACTTAAATAATTAATTATTTTTTTACTTAATTGATGTATCTGCTAGCTATTTCATTAATTTTCTTAAGCAAAGGCTAATGTATTATTTTCTCTGTTTGACATGAACCCCATCTGTGTCCATTGTGGATACTCTCCATCCCCGTCGCATTTCGAGAGAGCCATAAAGGCTCAAACCCTTTCCTTTTCGAGTCAGCCAGCCATAGAATCCAAGTGCTGGCCCAGGCGGATAGAAAATCAGACTTAGGCCCAAAACATTCTCTCTCTCTTTTAGTTGTTCTATAGTCGTTCAATTTTTTTTATTATTATTTTTGCTGATGTGTTAGTCAATTTTAAAGTTTTTTCCTAATTTAAATTCCCCAAAGATAACCATTTTGAATTAACTACTTAAAACTGATAAATATTTTTTACTTGACTTTCAAGAACAATTTGCAAAATGTTTTACTTAAGTAATATTTTTAATATTCCCTTTCCCCTTTAAGTTAACTCTTCTATTTTTTTTTTGAACTCGTTTGCTTCTTAATTAGTTAAGCATTGGTTATTTTAAAAATTATTTAGCCAAATAGTTAATTATTGGATAACCGCAAGTTAGCGGATGTTTTAGGTGCCTTTAAAACCTTCCTAAAACATTAATATGAACCCCGAACCCCGAACCCCCTTTAAAGATTTTCATTAGATTTTTTGTTTTTAATCTTTTGAAAAAATAGTTTTCTTAATTTTTAAAAAAATTAAGTGGCGACTTTTAAAACCCGTCATTTTTTTTTTTAAATATAAAACAATCACCTCTCTTGAATATTTTTTCCGCCTACCTCTACCTCTCCTTGTACCCACTATATTCAGCCTCTCGTATCTAAGAATAATGAAGGGCTGACCCAGCCCGCGACCCTCTTAGGATTAGATTGGACTGATCATTTTAAGGCCCATTCAATTAATGGGCCGGCCCTATCTCTATAAATATAAAGGAATTGTTCCATTATTCCTCACTAATACTAATAATAGTAGAATCAATGGCACAGAGTCAAAAAGAACGAAGACTATTAATAAACCAATCCAATAAATTCGCTCATTTTATGAGAAATTTCTGTATGATTTATAATCGGGAAAGATTAAACCCAAGAAAAATCCACAGTAACATCTCAAGGGAATGTTACTAATGGAACATGTAGTAATAATAGGTCTTATTCTTTTTTGTTGACCTTCATTTGAATTGATTGGATGCTTGAGCACTGAGATATTTTCTTGATTCATAATCAAGACGAAAGGTCGGATGTACTTGTTCAGGAAAATGGATGTTGGTTTTGGATCTAGTTCATATTTTTGGGAATCGTGCCTGTGAGGGAATTAGTTGATGTTTATTATGATCAAGACCTCGTGATTCTCAATTCACTTTATTGAATATTCGGGAACACCGTTGGGTGCAATTGTTTAGATTAATTTAGTTGGATAATAATCATGATCTCCACGAGGTAGTGGTAAGGTCTGCGTACACTCTATCCTCCCAAACCTCACTTGGTGGGATTTTGTTGTTGTTGATAATAGTCATGTCTTTTTATGTCAATGCTGGATCCCCATTTGAAGGCCACTTGAATAATAGTAGTTGTTGTTTGATATTGGCAGGGAAATATTTTACTAAAACTCCTTGGAGAGTCCTTTAGGCATGGATAATTCGCGTGCAAACCTGCTGGAGGAAGCGGTTGGCATTAGCAAAGGCGGGCGAGTGGTGGTGGTGGAGGATTGTGTTGAGACGAGCGGTGCCTTCGTGCTCCATCATTTCCTTAAGCGCTCTCTCTATCCTGACACTTCTGATGTTGTCATTTTCATCGCCTTTGCCCACCCTTTCTCTCACTATGAACGCATCCTTCGAAAGATGGTCAGCTCTCCCTCACTCCATTTATTGTATGACAAAATACTTACCTACCCCCTGGGCGTTCACCAAGTACAGTCTTTTATATAGATTTATCTTGTTAATCAATATGTATTTTTACCTCTATTTATCAATTAGGTATAGTAAGTTAACATACTTTGCTGCATCGGGAGAGTTAGGATAGCTATTTTTCATATCTATCTATCAACAGTTGTGTGCAACTTAAATAAAAAAGTAAGCAAAATTTGAACTTCTAATTGACTAGGATTGGATTCAAATTTTCTTGACATTTGGTATCATCCTTTACTCAATAGGATAAATGTTCTTGACTTTTCAGAAGTTTCTCTGATTTTTGTCAGTCATTTTAATGGAATATTTTAGTTCTGCATACTTTTAAAGCCTCACAATCCCTTTTTCGTTATTTCCTAAACAGGGTTGCAACTTAACTGTGCATAGGAAGAATCACAGATTCTTATTTCTTGACATGCTTACATTGGAGTGCCCAGGTGAAGATGTCAAGCAGAAAGTTTTGTTAGCTATTTTCTTGTAATGTTGATTTACCCGAGCTTTAGTAGAGTCTGTTTGTGTACTTTGTGAGAATTTAACGTCCCATCAAGGAGATTAGAAGACATAATGAGCAGTCTCTTTATTTATTTTATGTGAATTTTGACACCATTAATGAGGAGATTAAAAGACCTAAATACTTAGAAAAAAAATCAAAAGTTTAAAGGACCTATATTCAAGTGAAATAGGAATTTATAGCTCTTACGATGTTTTGGTGCTGCTTGACCATTTTGAGAGCTGTATATCAATTGTCTTCTGTTTACCTATGTAGAAAACTTGATTCTTAGGAACTTTTGGGAACCGATGCATCTCTATCGAATAAAGAGACAAAAAATAGTTCTAAAATTCACCCAGAATAGTTCCACTATGAATTGGAAATGTTACATGCATACTGCACTGCCTTTTTGTGTTTAAACAATACTCCCTCCGTCCAATTTAAGTGTCTTAGTTTGACTGAACACAGAATTTAAGAAGTAAAGAAAGACTTTAGAATCTTGTGGTCCTTAAATTAAAGATGTGTGTAGTCATTTAATTGTTGTGCTTAAACTTGCCATATAATAATTGGAATTGAAAAAGTTACTAAATATAGAAAGAGATGCTCTTTTTGGGACAAACCAAAAATGAAAGTATAAGACACTTAAATTGGGACAGAGGGAGTACTTCTTTATGAGAGTGATTTTTATTTCTACCGACCTGTCTTAGCATTACTTGACCCTCTTAGTTGTTTGTGCTCAATTCATAATTAGACAGAAGTGTAAAGGAAACAAGACAAGATGGATTGTTTGCATTGTATGGGGAAATTGAGAAAGCAGTAGAGATATATTCTTCACTTGAAGGTAGTAGAACCATTACTATTATGATTGATGACATCTCCCTTATTGAAGTGGCGGCTAATGGTTCATCAAATCACGTGTTGGATTTTCTACACTACTGCTACACTCTGAAAGCAAAATATGTGAGCAATTTTATCCACTATTACTCTGCATCTAATTCAAACAATAGTTTGAGCTACGATCAATAGTTTCTTTTGGTAAGTAGGAAAAAGTCAATAGCATGGGCTACGATCTTAATAATCTCTGTATCCAGGGCTGTTCCTTTGTTACTCTTAATCACGAGGATATCTATTCCAGTGCAAATATGCTGCCGTTAATCTTGCAACCAGAGTACCTCGCTGATGTGATAATCAAGGCAGAACCTTTGGCAACTGGTTTAGCAAGTGACGTGCATGGACAGGTATAATTTTAATACTACCTTTTATCCTTCCCCTATATACATTTGTCGTACTGATACTGTGTCACCTTCTCTCCTCGACTAAAGGAAGGAAAAATCTAGAAGGCTATCTCCTTTGTCTTTCAGCCTCTAACCTTTATTCATCTTTTTTCTAACTTTTGTTCGGTCTCTCTTTTTCCCTTTTATAATCCACAAACCTCATTTACCCAAAAAGAAAGAAAAAAATTTAAAAATCCAGTGGTCACACTTTTAGCGAAGATGAGATGGGATTTGCTTGTGTTCTGAAAACTGATCGTCCTTACCGAATAACCTGATTGGTCAGTTGTGTGGCCCTAATGGTCTGTTTATGAACTTCAATTGTTGAAGAGCTAAAAGAAAGTCGAGAAATTGTAATAACCTTCTCTCTTTTACCTAGAATTAGTGCAGTATCTGTGGCGACTTTTAGCTGAAAACAGTATTCTTGTGATTACTTGCAATCAAATGACTCGTTGGGATAACATGCACTTGGTGTTTTAGTCCATCTTGTTTATTCATTTCTCTTATTTCCCCTGCAGTTGACTGTTTTAAATAAAGGAAGTGTTTGTGACTTGGGAGGCTCAAGTTCTAAGGTTTGCAATTTTCACTTTAGAGTCAAGGAAAACATCGTAGACTACTTCTATCCGGGGACTCAGACTTGAATAGATTCCATGCTGATTGAATTTGAACATTGGCCAGCATATTATAGACCGAAGGATGCAGTGATTGACGTCCCAAAGCGTTGGCAGAAAAACAAAGATAACCAAAGAGTGAGGAGCAAACGATATTCATCTTTGATCTCTAGCCTCCTGACATGGTAATCTTTACTTGAAAGGCATAGAAACCAAATTTTACCTTCAGTTTTGCCCTTGTTGGCTCTGTATGTTGTAGACGCCAGAGTTTCTCCGAGTTTTATTGTTATGGAAATCCAGTTGCTTTCTGTTACCTTGGAATGTCTCTTTTCATACTTGAGCTGTGTTTCACATACTATGAAGTGCACCTTATCGTGGTGTACAATCAACGGGACTTTCACTTTTTTTTCGAAGTTCAAACAATACACTGGATTTACGTTAATTTGATTATAGCATGAAAAACTACAGTGACGTGACCCGAGTGGTTAATATTTTTATTGTGCTTGTGGATTAGAAGACCCAGTAATTAATTAGTTGATTCTCTTTTTCCCAACAACTAGATAATAGCTCTTTATCAACTGCTCTTAACTCAAGATTAGTAGGAAAGGAACACATACAATTTAAGTTGCTGTCAAACATATACACACACCAAACAAAAAATTAAGTCCGTCTTCTTTGAGCTCTCTTATTTGGCCTTCTTTTTTGGTGGGGAATAATGCCTTCGAAAAATTCTACAAACCATTTTGGCTTACCAGCTTTAAACATGAGGCTCCACATGACAGTTCCAACAACTAATCCAAAACTGTAGCCTATGACTACTGATTCCCACGTAAATCCACTAAAAAAATATGTCTCGTCCTCTTCTTTTTCCTCTAATGGTTGGGGAATATGCAATGGATCACCCGTTCCACATTGCTTTGATAAAGGAGGACCACATAAATCTAGGTTGCCACCATACGAGTCATTTTCAAATGTGTTGAACTGTGAACCTTGAGGAATGCGTCCAGCTAGGTGATTTTGAGAGAGGTTTAAGAATGCCAGAAAGGTTAGCCTTGTCAATTGTTGCGGAATCTTTCCAGTGAGTTGATTCCAAGAGAGATCTAACGCTTCAAGCATATTCAATCCTCCTAGTTCCATAGGAATATCTCCTCTGAGATTGTTATGAGATAAATTGAGTAGCCAAAGTGAGCTGAGATCCTTTAGTGTTTTCGGAATCACACTTTCAAAATGATTGCTTGAGATATCTATGGCTGTCATAATTGTAGTGATTCTTTCTAGCTCCATATCGTTTCCTTTGATCACCAACCTCACTGAATCATCGTACATAACAAAAAATGAGTCTGATGTTTTCATATATTCGATCTCACCTTTGTCACTGTCATCTATTTTGATCATTCCTTTGAAGTTTTGAAAAACTTCTGCAGGCAGTGAGCCACTGAACTCATTATGAGAGAGATCTAAAATCCGCAACCTGGGAAACCCAAACTTCAGCCTAGTACTTATAGGTCCATGGAACTTGTTCGACTTTAATATAAGGACTTGCAGCTCTTGAAGAGTTCCTAGCCAAGCTGGAAATGAGTCATTTACAGCGTTGTTCCCGATATCAAGAACTTCTAAACCAACACAGTTGAGTAATGACACAGGGACATGTCCTTCAAAATGATTACCATTCAAGATAATGGTCGTCAATTGATTACCATAACCATTCAGAATACTGGTAGTCGATGAAGTGTGTTGACTACATAACGGTGGAAGACTTCCAGTGAAATTGTTCCTTCTTAAGTCCAACACCGTTAGCTGAGTCATGTTACCCAAGCAACTTGGAATCGAGTTACTGAAGTAGTTGTGTGATAAATCCAGAAGGCTAATGATGCTCATGTTACAAATGGATGCAGGTAGTGGACCCTGAAGGAAGTTAAATTTAAGATCAAGAGACACTAGACTATAGAAATGAGATAGATCTATGTGACCATTGAGTGAATTATATGAAAGGTTTAGGTGAAACAACGAGTCCCACCTCATCCCGCTAAACCAGTTAGGGATTTGACCACGAATCTTGTTGTTAGAAAGATTTATGACCTGAAGTGTCTTTAAATTTCTTAGAAACTGTGGAAAATCCTTCAGTTCACAAGATGATAACCGCAAAATTTCTAGTCTAGGAAAAGTGATGTGTGTCCCCCCATCAACGGTGATGTTGTTTGATGAAAGGTCAAGGTTTACAAGGTTTGTGAGCTTTTGAAGTGATCGAAGAACAGGACTATTGAGTTGATTATAACTCAAATCCAAACGCCCTACTGCTCGATTCACTTTGAGCTCATCGGATAGTCCATTGAATAGATTATGATGGAGCTCCAACATATATAAAGAAGGGAGGCTAAACACCCAAGATGGTATTGTTCCATTTAGCAAGTTGTGAGAAAAATCCAGGTCAACTAGCTTTAGAAGCATGCTGACATTGTTTGGCAATGGACCAGACAAGGAATTACTAGACAAGTCTAAGTTTTCAAGACGTGTCAAGTTTAAAATCGAAGAGGGAAATGGACCGATGAAGCTGTTATAAGAAAGATACAATGTAACTAGCTCTCGGAGGTTAGAGAAAACATCGGGAATTTTACCTCCAAGTGAGTTAAACGAAAGATCTAGACGTGTGAGATGTTTCAATTTTGAGATTGTTGAAGGAATATGGCCAGTGAAATGATTGGAACCAAAATCCAACTCTCTGATTTGTGTGAAGTTGCCAATGGAATCAGGAATGAGACCAGATAAGTTATTGTAAGCAAGGTTTAGCGTCTGAAGACGATGAAGTTGAAAGAGGCTGCTGTTAGGATGAATAGTTCCGCTAAGATTTGCATTACTAAGGTCTAGGCCAATTACATAACCAGTTAACATGTCACAAGTGATCCATCCCCAAGTGCAGCAATCCGTACTCTCATTCCAAGACGATGCTTTTGGGAGAGAAGTACTATAATGTTTAGAGTACTTGTCGGACATTTGAAAGTGTTGCTTGAACTGAAGCAAAGATAAAGCTTCACTGGGAGAGCAAAGATGCTGCACAAAGGATGAAGAAAAGCTTTGACTTAGGAAGACAAAACAGAGAATTGAATAAAAGAAAACTAGACGTCCCATTGTTTATTTTTAGCAGATAACAAAATGTTCTTACAAAATCAATCATAATCCACGGTATATATATATAGTTAAAGGGCTGACTTTCTCCACACTCTGATTAGGGATGGAGACATAGAGGTGCAAGGGGTTCACCTAAATCCTGCTCGTTGAAAAATTATACTATGTAAATAGAGCGATATTTTTTGTTTGAGTTGTTTACAGCTAATTGAACTCTCTGCTATTATTGTCCCATCAACATCTCTTTGGTTGACTTCCAACTTATCAGCCATATTTTTCTAGTTTTCCCACAAGAATGTTCAAAAAGAGAAACTATTGATTGACTAAGTCAAATGACATGATGTGTCGAGTTGTATGAATGCAATAAATTTTTAGTGCAATTTTTTCATGGAATCTATACGATCATAATAGGTCAAGATGTGTTGTGCTGCTTTAAGTTGATAATAGAGTGTATAATTTTGAAGTCATTGAACCAATTAGTGGTCCATGGATGAGATAGTGACAAGAGGGAACACTTTAATCAAGTGAAACCAAGTTGGACGAATGCAATAAATTTTTTGTGCAATTTTTTCGTGGAATCTATACAATCATAAAAGGTCAAGATGTTTCGAGCTGCTTGAGTAAATGTACAGGAAGGTGTCCATCTAGTATGTTTGGGATTAAGCATAAAAAATGCTTTACTTGAATAACCATTGATGCTAAAATAACACATAACAATTAAGTTGTTATCAAACATATACAAACAGCAAACATAAAATTAAAAAACAAAAACAGTAATAGAAAAGTTCAATCTTCCATTATGTCCTTTGTCTTGGCCTTCTCTTCTTTGACCTTCTCATTTTCTTGGGAAAAATGCCTTCAAAAAATTCGACAAACCATTTTGGTTTACGATATTTAAAAATGAGGCTCCACACAACCGTTCCAGCAACGAGTCCAAAACTGTAGCCTAAGACTACTGATTCCCACGTAAATCCACTAAAAAAATATGACTCGTCTTCATCTTCTTCGGACTCCAATGGTTGAGGAACATGTGATGAATCACTCGTTCCGCATTGCTTTGATAGAGGAGGACCACATAAATCAAGGTTGCCACCATACGAACCATTTTCAAATGTGTTGAATTGTGGACCGTGAGGAATTGGTCCAACGAGATGATTTTGAGAGAGGTTTAAGACTGTTAAAAAGTTCATTCTTGTCAATCCCTGTGGTATCTTTCCAGTGAGCCGATTCCAGGAGAGATCTAATGCTTCAAGCATATTCAATTGCCCCAATTCCATTGGAATATGACCTATGAGATTGTTATGGGATAAATTGAGTAGCCAAAGTGAGCTGAGATCCTTTAGTGTTTTCGGAATGACACCTTCAAAATGGTTGCTTGAGAGATCTATGGTTGTCATAATTGTGCTGATTCTTTCTAGCTCAGTATCGTGCCCTTTGATTACCAACCTCACTGAATTCTCATACGATGTGTAAGAGAAATTCTCATATGGTTCCATGTACTTGATCTCTCTTGTATCTTCACCATCTAATTTGATCATTGCCTTGAAGTTTCCAAAAGCTTTTGCAGGAAGTGATCCACTGAATTCATTACGAGAAAGATCAAAAATTCGCAATTTGGGATAGCAAAACTCAGTCTGACAAGTACTTATAGGTCCATGGAACAGATTGAACTTTAATATTAGGACCTGCAGTTCTTGAAGTGTTCCTAGCCAAGCTGGAAATATGTCATTTATAGCGTTATTCCCCAAATCAAGAACTTCTAAACCAACACAGTTGAGCAACGACACAGGGACAGGTCCTTTCAATAGATTACCATTCAAGACGATGGTTTTCAATGAATCGGTCTGTGCACAAAATGGTGGAAGACTCCCTGTGAAGTTATTTCTTCTAAAGTCTAACACAGATAGCTCAACCATGCTGCCGAAGCAATGTGGAACAGAGCCACTGAAGTTGTTGTGTGATAAATCCAGAAGGCTAAGGCTATTCATGTTACAAATGGATAAAGGTAGTGACCCCCGAAGGAAGTTAAATTTAAGATCAAGATACTTTAGACTATAATAATGAAATTGTGGTAGATGGCCTGTTAATGAATTATGAGAAAGGTTTAAGAACTGCAACGAGTTCCACCTCATGCTGCTAAACCAGTTAGGGATTTGACCACGAATCTTATTGTTAGAAATATCCAAGACCTGAAGTGTGTTTACATTTCTCAAGAAGTGTGGAAAATCCCTCAATTCACAAGATGATAAGAACACTTTTTCTAGGCTAGGAAAGGTGATATTTATTCCCGCATCACCCGTGATGTTATTTGATGAAATGTCAAGGGTAAAAAGGTTTGTGAGATTCGCAAGAGATTGAGGAAAAGAACTACTGAGTTGATTATTGCTTAAAAACAGGTATTCTAATGTTGGGTTATTTTTGAGCTCATCGGCTAGTCCACTAAATTGATTATTTTGGAGCGACAGTGATGTTAGCAAAGGGAGGCTAAGCACCCAAGATGGTATGGTACCATTCAGTGAGTTGTATGACAAATCCAGCTCGGTTAGCTTTGGAAACATGCTTGCATTGCTGGGCAGTGAGCCAGATAGGGAATTACTCGACAAGTCTAAGTATTGAAGATGTATCAAGTTTAAAATTGTAGAAGGAAACGAACCAATGAAGCTGTTACTATAAAGATGTAAATAACGTAGCTCTTGGAGGTTAGAGAAAACATCTGGAATTTCACCTGAAAAGGAATTGGACTCAAGAACTAAATGTGTGAGGTGCTTCAATTTAGAGATTGTGGAAGGAATGTGGCCAGTGAAACGATTATCAGATAAAATCAACTCCCGAATTTGTGTAAGATTGCCAATGGAATCAGGAATGTGACCAGAAAATTCACATCCACGGAAGTACAAGATATTCAAAGAACTCAAGGTGCCAATTGAATCAGGCAGCTCACCGGAGATTCCTGTGTATGAAATATCCAACTCCAACAGAGTACTGCTCGGGTGGATCTTTGGTAAAACTCCTTTGAGAAGAGCATTGAAACCCAATTTAAGCCTTTCCAAGTTTGGCATAAGAAAAAAGTTCTCTGTGAGAACACCTCGCAGATTAGTATATTCAAGATCCATGTACCTTAAGGAGGAAGAAATATTCACAGGTATCGGAGATGAGATGTTGACAAAAGAGAGAGATAGTACCTCCAGATTTGTCAAGTTGTGAAGCATTGCCTCAAATGTTCTCTGATCAAGTTGTAATCCATACTTATAAGGAGGAGAAAGATCAAGTGAAACTAAATTGGAAAGCAATGAGATTTCTGTTGGGATTTTCCCATCAAAGTAAGAATAAGAAAGGTTGAGATTCCTCAAATTTGTCAATCGGCCAATGTTATGTGGGATTGAAGAAGTTGAAAAGTTATTGTAAGCAAGGTTTAGTGTTTGAAGATAAAGAAGTTGGAAGAGGCTGCTTTTCGGATGAATAGTTCCTTTTAGCAGACTGCAACTAAGGTCCAACCCAATAACATGACCGTTTAACATGTCACAAGTGACTCCGTCCCAAGTACAACAATCCCTACTCTCATTCCAAGACTTTGTTTTCGGGAAAGAAGCTTGTCCTCGGAAATGACAAGAGTACTCGGATGTAATCTCAAAGGGTTGCTTAAACTGAAGCAAAGCAGAAGCTTCAGTGGGAGAGCAAAGATGATGATCAATGGATGAAGAAAAACATCCACTTATTAGCAACACAAAACAGAGAAATGAAGAAAAGAAAAGGAAACATCCCATTTGTTTGTTTGTATTCAACAAATAGCAGGATGTTCTCTTCTTGCAAATCAATCATCATATTCATATTCATATATATAAAAAAAAGAACATCAAAGTGGAAGACCTAAATGTCCTTTTACTTTTCACCAAAAAAATATATAACAAAGACTTTCATATGCTTTTTCCTTTCATAAAATGTCACTTTACTTTTACATTTTTTTTTTGGTATTTTGTCTTTTTGGTCAAAGATCTTATCCATGGCCTAAATTCTCAACTTTTTTCCCAATAATACAATGTTTTTTTATTCTTCTTATTTGACGTGCAATTTATGTTTATGGCATAATATACAAACGTAATATATTTATGTCCTTCAACTTTGATTATACACAAGTAGACACTTACATTTTTATAAAGCTGAACAAATAGACACACGTGTCCTACCTAGTGTCCCACAGCAGGTACCGGTGAAATAATCGAGGTGCAATGTTTAGCATCCAGATGGCATTTCTGCTATAGTAGCATCTATGAGTTCGTTCATTGTAACAATATTAACCAAGCCACGAAAATAGTGGAATCAATCTGCATAACAGTTACTCAAAAGAACCATACAATTTTTCTTTTTTTCTAAATAAGAGATCGTGTGTTTTGAATGGATCAACTTCAATTTCGAACTAAGTTTTGGGAAATTTACTAACAATGCTTAGATCCTTCCACCACAAACAAGTCTCCGAAAAAGATACATTAATTTAAAAAAAAACACATACAGTTAAGTTTGTATGAAGAATATACAAACAACAAACAGAAAAAACAGAAACAGAAAAGTTCAATCTTTCAATCTTCCATTATGTCTGCCGTCTCAGCCTTCTCTTCTTTGGCCTTCTCCTTTTGTGGGGCATGATGCCGTCAAAAAATTCGACAAACCATTTTGGCTTACGATAATTAAACATGAGGCTCCACATGACAGTTCCAACAACTAGTCCAAAACTGTAGCCTATTTCTCATTTTCTTGGGATAAATGCCTTCAAAAAATTCCACAAACCATTTTGGCTTACGATATTTAAACATGAGACTCCACATGACAGTTCCAACAACTAGTCCAAAACTGTAGCCTATGACTACTGATTCCCACGTAAATCCACTGAAGAAATATGACTCATCTTCTTCTGCTTCATCCTCCAGTGATTGAGGAACATGTGAGCGATCACTCGTTCCACATTGCTTTGACAAAGGAGGACCACATAAATCAAGGTTGCCACCATACGAGTCATTTTCAAATGTGCTGAATTGTGAACCTTGAGGAATGCGTCCAACGAGCTGGTTTTGAGAGAGGTTTAAGAACGCCAGAAAGTTCATTCTTGTCAATTCCTGTGGAATCTTTCCAGTGAGCCGATTCCAAGAGAGATCTAAGGCTTCAAGTGAATTCAATTGCCCCAATTCCATTGGAATATCACCTTTGAGATTATTGTGGGATAAATTGAGTAGCCAAAGTGAGCTGAGATCCTTTAGTGATTTCGGAATGTCACCTTCAAAATGGTTGCTTGAGAGATCTATGGCTGTAACAATTGTGCTGATTCTTTCTAGCTCAATATTGTTTCCTTTGATCATCAACCTCACTGAATCCTTGTACACTTCATCAATGGCCAATTCTAGCTTATACATAGTCCAGTCTTTGATCGATGAATCAACCAATGACCTGAAAACTGATGTTTCCATATATGTAATGTTACCTTTGTCTGTGCCATTTTTTATCATTGCCTTGAAGTTTCTAAAAATATCTGCAGGCAGTGAACCATTGAATGCATTATGAGAGAGATCAAAAATCCGCAACCTGGGAAAGCAAAACTTCTTCCTAGCACTTATAGGTCCATGGAACTTGTTCGACTTTAATATAAGGACTTGCAGCTCTTCAAGAGTTCCAAGCCAAGCTGGAAATGTGTCATTTATAGCGTTGTTCCCCAAATCAAGAACTTTTAAACCAACACAGTTGTGTAATGACGCAGGGACAGATCCTTCGAATTGATTACCATTCAAGACAATGGTCATCAATGAAGTGCTTTGAGTACATAACAGTGGAAGACTCCCACTGAAATTGTTCCTTCTCAAGTCCAACACCGTTAGCTTAGCCATGCTTCCCAAGCAATTTGGAATTGAGTTACTGAAGTTGTTGCGTGATAAATCCAGAATTCTAAGGCTTCTTAGGTTACATATGGATGAAGGTAGTGGACCCTGAAGGAAGTTAAATTTAAGATCAAGAGACTCAAGACTATAATAATGAAATTCTCCTAGATGGCCTGTCAAAAAATTACGTGAAAGGTTTAGTTGTTCCAAAGAGTCCCACTTCATGCCGCTAAACCAGTTAGGGATTTGACCACGGATCTTGTTGTTAGAAATATCCAAGAACTGAAGTGTCTTTAGATTTCTCAAGAAGTGTGGAAAATCCTTCAGTTCACAAGATGATAATAACAAAGCTGATAGTCTAGGAAAGGTGATATTTATTCCCACATCGCCGGTGATGTTATTTGATGAAAAGTCAAGCAAGGCCAGGCTTGTGAGATTCACAAGTGATCGAGGAAAAGGACCATTGAATTGATTATGACTTAAATACAAAGTCACTAATGTCGGGTTTGTTTTGATCTCATCAGCCACTCTACTGAATTGGTTATGATGGAGCTTCAAATCAAGTAAGGAAGGGAGGCTAAACACCCAAGAGTGTATTGTGCCATTCAGTGAGTTGTGAGACAAATCTAAGTATTGAAGACTTGTCAAGTTTAAAATTGAAGAGGGAAATGGACCGGTGAAGTTGTTATTAGAAAGATCCAATTCAACTAGCTCTTGGAGATTAGAGAAACCATGGGGAATTATGCCTCGCAGATTAGTATGACTAAGATCCAGGTACCTTAAGGAAGAAGAAATATTCACAGGTATCGGAGATGAGATGTTGACTTCAGAGAGAGAAAGTACCTCCAGATTTGTCAAGTTCTGAAACATTGCTTCAAATGTTCTCTCATCAAGTTGTAATCCATAACCAGAAAGATGAAGTGAAACCAAATTGGAAAGGTATGAGATTTCTGTTGGGATTTTCCCATCAAAGCCAGAGAGTTTTAGATGCCTCAAATTCCTCAATCGGCCAATGCCATTTGGGATTG